GTAGACGCCGGCATACCTCCAGCACCCAACGGTGAGGCGGCGAATCTATTTTAAGGAGACTGTGGTATCACACAGGCTTCGGTTTGCTTCCTTTAACCATTTTATATTTTATCTGTATTTTATTCAGCATGTTATTTTTTCTGGGATTGAAGGTTTGTTTTGTTCATCTCATAATTTTGCGATATGCAATGTGAAATTATGTAATGTGAGTAGTTTTTCCCAACAAAAATCCCCAAAACAAAAATCTATTGACAATTAAGATCCCACAGCAAGATGATATGGTCATGCACAGCTAGCCAACAGGTAACACCATGCCACAACACGACACCAGTATGAAATGAAAGAGGTGCACAAAATTTGAAAGAGGTGCTTGGGAACAACCAGCCAGGGTTAGGTAATGTTTTGTGTGTAGGATCCTCTGATTTACATTACAAGTTGACAGCTTACTACTAGGTCAGTGACATTTTCAGAACAGAATACCTTAAAAAATGGTGATGCTTACATTGATATTCTGCAAGCTAATAATATACAGTAACATTCTGACTATAGTTATTTCAGAAATCTTTACTTTATGTTTCAGACAGAATTAATTTGTACAAAAACTGCTTTTATACATTTTAATTGAAAGAGTAGTTTATTAAAGAATACATATAGGATCTTGAAAGTGACAAGTCCTAGTCCTTTAATAAACTGCTTTTATACATCTTAATTTAAGTAATATAACAAAAAAATAACAAACGGACCAAAATAGGACCTCGCTCTATATAAGACTGTGCTTGGATTAAAGATTTAAGGAGAAATTTGTGAAGGGAAACAAAAAAAAAGGAGGGAAAAGTGTATAAAATAAAAAGCTAAATTGATGATGGGTTGATGCTATAGCAGCAGTGGTGGGTAGAGAAGTTCATTGCTTTCTTGGCCATTTTACATAATCATGTCTCAAGCCCACTGTAATAATAGCAATTGATAATGGAGTTTCTCAAGTGTATCATAAATGATTTGATATAACTATTCCTTGCTTTCCACTTTGTGGAGGCTATTAATTTTTACATTTTTTTTTTTTTTTTTTGGGACATAGAAGAGGTTTGCTCGAAGTAAAGACAAACCAATTAAGCTTCTCTCTCTCTCTCTCTCTCTCTCTCTCTCTCCAAACCAATGATTAGTCAAAAAATGCAAATCAAAGTCAACTCCTCAAACTGCATTCAAGTTCATATATGCTTTAGTTTAACAAAAATAGGGAAGTTGCTAGAAGACGATGAAATCCCCACAACAAAAATCTATTGACAATTAAGATCCCACAGCAAGATGATATGGTCATGCACAGCTAGCCAACAGGTAACACCATGCCACAACACGACACCAGTATGAAATGAAAGAGGTGCACAAAATTTGAAAGAGGTGCTTGGGAACAACCAGCCAGGGTTAGGTAATGTTTTGTGTGTAGGATCCTCTGATTTACATTACAAGTTGACAGCTTACTACTAGGTCAGTGACATTTTCAGAACAGAATACCTTAAAAAATGGAGATGCTTACATTAATATTCTGCAAGCTAATAACATACAGTAACATTCTGACTATAGTTATTTCAGAAATCTTTTACTTTATGTTTCAGACAGAATTAATTTGTACAACCAAGGAATAAATCCTTAAACGAAATAAGCAAATACTCTTTTCTATCCAAAAACTGCTTTTATACATTTTAATTGAAAGAGTAGTTTATTAAAGAATACATATAGGATCTTGAAAGTGACAAGTCCAAGTCCTTTAATAAACTGCTTTTATACATCTTAATTTAAGTAATATAACAAAAAAATAACAAACGGACCAAAATAGGACCTCGCTCTATATAAGACTGTGCTTGGATTAAAGATTTAAGGAGAAATTTGTGAAGGGAAACAAAAAAAAAGGAGGGAAAAGTGTATAAAATAAAAAGCTAAATTGATGATGGGTTGATGCTATAGCAGCAGTGGTGGGTAGAGAAGTTCATTGCTTTCTTGGCCATTTTACATAATCATGTCTCAAGCCCACTGTAATAATAGCAATTGATAATGGAGTTTCTCAAGTGTATCATAAATGATTTGATATAACTATTCCTTGCTTTCCACTTTGTGGAGGCTATTTCTTTTTACATTTTTTTTTTTTTTTTTACTATATGATAATTTCTTTATTTTAACTTTTTGAGCTTGTTATGCAATGACCATATATTTATAGGTCCAGGGACTCCATTGGAGACAATAACATATAGGTGCCATCCTTTTGTTTTACCCTTCTACTAAAAGCTCATTACGGGTTGGTTTGGGAAGATGTGGTTAAAATAGTCACAAAAGATAAAATAGGCTATTTTAGTCACAACAAACAAAACATCACATCCAATCCATAATCATTACACTCTTTTCTCACCAAAAAAGTCAAAAAGTCAAAAAGCTTTTCCCAAACCAAAATTTTTAGCCCAAGCTAAAATAGCCAAAAAAGTCAAAAAACTAACCCACTTCCCAAACCAAGCCTACATATATGATGTATCTGCCATATTATTAGACAGAGGAGCCTAACCTTACACTTACAGAGTCCGGATCCTCTCCAGCTTTTCCCTCCTGCCTCTCCACCAGGCAATGGTCCAAATTGGGCCACAACATTCCATTCAAAATGTACGGCTGAAATTAGTTTAAAAAAAAAGCAAACAAATTGACTCACTGACGACACGTCCCATTCACTTACACACTCTCTCACTCTCTTTCTTCTCTCTCTCTCTCTCTCTCTCTCTCATCCATCTCTAATAAAAAATTAAATTTTTTTAATCTTTTACATTTTGTTTTCATAAGATATATTTCCTTCATCCCAAAATTCAGTCTCTTATTCTAATTTTTTATTATTTCAAAATATTAGTTCATTTTCAAAAATTAAGGACAAAAATAATATAAATTATATTTTTTTTTAATTCTTTTAAATTCATTAATAATATAAAAAGTACAATTACAACAATTGATATTCTCCAAAAAATATACTATCAAAGGGTAAATTTTAAGATTCTCAAAAACAATCTTCATTATAAAAAAAATCATATAAAAATAATGACTTTTAATTTAATTTTATTAACCAAACGAGTTTATAATTTTTTTAAAGGAAATAAAAAAAACACATAGATTCAATATGTGCATAGGTGCAAATCAAACAAGCTTATAATTTTTTTTATTAGTTTACAAAATATATTTGATATGCACCTATGCACAGATTGAATCTGTGTGTTTTTTTATTTATTTTCTTTAAAAAAAATTATAAGCTCGTTTGGTTAATAAAATAAAATTAAAAGTCATTATTTTTATATGATTTTTTTTAGAATGAAGATTGTTTTCGAGAATTTTAAAATTTACCCTTCAATAGTATATTTTTTTGGAGAATATCAATTGTTATAATTGTACTTTTTATATTATTAATGAATTTAAAAGAATGAAAAAATATATAATTTATATTATTTTTGTCCTTAATTTTTGAAAATGAACTAATATTTTGAAATAATAAAAAATTAGAATAAGTGACTGAATTTTGGGTTGAAGGAAATACATCTTATGAAAATAAAATGTAAAAGATTAAAAAAAATTAATTTTTTATTAGAGATAAGAGAGAGAGAAAAGAAAGAGAGTGAGACAGAGTGTGTAAGTGAATGGGACGCGTTATCAGTGAGTCAATTTGTTTGTTTTTTATTTTTTTTAAAAAATTAATCTCAATCATACATTTTGAATGGAATATTGTGGTCCAATCTGGACCGTTGGCCGGTGGAGAGGCATGAGGGAAAAGCTGGATAGGATCCGGACTCAACCTTACAATCCAAACAAATTGAGTGCCAAGTTCCATCGGGCTTGAGATTCTCACCTCGAACAAGCTACATCATGCTAGGTTTGATGCTTAGATTGGGTTGAAAAAAATAACTTTATTAATTTATAGAAACTGACTCCATATAATCCACAAAATAAAAAAATAAAAATAAAGTTAAAAATACTTAGGCTGTGTTTAGTTCAATAATTTGGGGAGGGATTTGAAAAAAGTGTGAAAAACTAGATAAAATATAAGTATTTTTTATTCACATTTCACCGTCTTTTTCCTTTTCCCTTTCACTTTCCATTTTCAAATCCCTCATCAAATCCTTGAACCAAACACAGCCTTAGAGAAACCAACAGAAAAATGTATAAATAATTATCTATGAGAAATTCTAGGCCAAACATGTTATATGACATTGTGGGTGTTTGAAAAGTAGCTATTTTTTAGGCTTTTTGGCTATTTTAGTTTCTGTGTTAAGGAAGATGGGATGGATTTTTTTGGGATTGTTGTATTGAAAAATGTGTTTGAAATGATGGTAGAATGTAAATTTACCAAACACCCATACAGATATTTATAAAAAACACAAGGTTAAAGTCCACGTGGCAGTGAGGACACTGCCATCGTCTGTCCCGTGTTCCCTTGGGTTACAAAATTTGTTTGTAAAAAATTAAAAGGTGCTGTTTGTGAAAAAAATCAATGCACAAATTTGTAAAATGTACTAATTTTTTAAAATTTTGTTTGGTTTAGTGATTTTGGAAAAAAAAAATTCAAAATCACTTTGTATGTGTTTGGTAACGTTTACGTTTTCAGTTTATATTTACAAAAATTTTATAAACTGATTTTTGTTTATTTTTAGAAAAACATAAACTACAAACGTGTTTGGTAATTGACAAAATGTTTAAAAAAAATTAAAAATATAAAAAAAATAGTGAGAAATGGCAAGTGGTGGCATGTGGCGGTGGAAGACGGTGATGGAAAGTGATGACGGTGGGTGGTGGGTAGCTGGTGGTGGTGGGTGGGTGGGTGACGGTGGCGGGTGGTGGGTGGTAGCGAGTGGGTGGTGGTGGCAGGTGGGTGGGTGGCGGATGGCGGATGGTGGTAGCTGGGTGGTGGGTGTCGATATCCTTGGCCCTAAGGA